TACACATAATTTCATGAAACTACCAACTATCTAATCTATTACATATAAAATCAAGTATTATATCAATAGTAGTGTAATAAATAATGATGAAAATCCCATTTACAGCATAGTATATATACATATACATACACTTGTAATAATGAATTTAGTAAACTGCTGTTTTTTTTATATCATCGAGACAATGTTCTCTGATTCCCGGCAACAATGTGACTAAGGTCCGATCCAACCATGCTATAGGATTAGGATACATAAATCCTCCTTCAAAAAATCCAAGGTGACCACCGTGCATCAGTTCCATGTACAATATATTATCTTTTGATTCTAAAACAAATACATTAATACRATATTTATTATTACAATATTATCTAAAATTTAAAATAGATGRATATTACTAAGGCAAAATTAGTTTTTGACATGCAATGATAATAATTTATAAGATAACTGTACCATTTTATAGATAAAACTTGAGTTAAAAATAACATAATACTATTTTATTCAAATACTGTACAAATAAAAACCTATATAATGGCTAATGCAATTAATAYGAACAAATAAAACAAGTTTATATATTCCATCAGAAATTTAACTCAAATTAATATTKATAGAACATAATTGTTTTTTTTTTGTTAAAAATAGATAAATTATATGAATATTTTGTTTATCAAAAAGTAAATAGTCTTAAAATATATGATAATAAAACATATCATAATACTACCTAACCCATATAATTTATATAAAACTGTTTAATATTTRAAAACAAAGGGAAAAGGGTTAGAAAGAATAGGTTAGCTTATACAATATTTAATGAAAATGTATTATTATCTCACTTGCAAAATTTTGAATTGGTATTAATAAATCTTCTGGCACCAATGGATCATCTCTTGAATTAATAAATATCATTGGCGTTTTTACATTATTTATGTAATGTAAGCAACTTGACCATCGATAAAACTCATGAAGATTTTTAAAATTATTGACTTTTCTACAAAAATAGGATTAAAAAARTATTAATTAAATTTAAATATTTATTGAACTAACATAATTCATAGCAGTAAAAAAAGTTTTAATCTTAAATTAAAAATTGTTGTTATCTGGGGTCTAATTATTACAATTAATTTTTTCAAATGTAATAAATTTATTTTTAAGCATACAAAAAAACAACATTGTATAGATAATATAAATATCTTAGGTATTTATATCAAACTTATAACAAACCAATTATTATGTCTAAATTAATAAAGTTGATAAATGATAAAATATAAGATATTTTGCAGATAAATGACATATGTATAATTTTATTTATTTCTTAAGCTAAAAAAAAAATAGTATAACAGCCTTTAGTTTAATAATAAAAAAATAAAAATGGCAGTTACTACTTTCAGACTTTTTCCATCAGTTTAGATCTGATATTGAAGTTCCTATTACCTTTACCTAAATTTAAATTAAAACATACTATAACTACAATTTAGCTTATAAATACCCATGACTAAATAAATAGATATGATTATAAAAATACTGTTTTAATCCGGTTTGTGCATACCCCCACTATTCTATACACAAAACCATTGCTTGTAGTTCTCCACATTTTATAGGTCAGTAGTATTAATGGAATCCCACCAAAAACACTTTGTTATAACTCCATGTAAAAAAAAGCTAAGATAAAAAAAAATTTAGTAATGATTAAATCTTTAAAATACGTTATATAATATGACAAATAAGTAAAATGGCATTTTATAATATTATAAATACCTAAGATCAATATTGTAATGTTAAAGACATAGTCAACATATTGTTTATTTGTTTATACATTATTAATTATGAAAAATACTGTAGTCACTAGTGGTCACTTATTTGTATTTATTTAAGTATACTATATGTCTGCCAAATAGTTAAACAATATGTTGACCAAGTATTTACATTACAAAACTGATCTTAGGTATTTGTAATATTATAAAATGGCATTTTACTTAGTTTCCATATTATATCACGTATTTAAAAAATWTAATTATTAAAATTTTTTTTTTAGCTTTTTATACGRATTTATAATTAAGTGTTTTTGGTGGGATATCAACTTTTTTTATTTATTTATTTTTTTTACTTTTTTAATGTTTTTGTGTTAATAATCTGCAGGCATCGTGGTTTACAACATACGCACTATAAAGCGTATACAAATAATAATAATGAAAGTAATTTTAATAGTACCTATACTAGTATTAAAATAGTAAAAAAGAAATAATAATAAAGTTGTAACGGCCAACACCAAATCTCAAAACAACTACTCGCTGCAGCGACTACATAAGAGATTAATTAAAATTGTAATAATATCTCCGCAAAGCAGCGGCCATTCAGCACCAATATAAACGTTGTACATATTAAGTGCTAGACGGCTAGACACGAAAGTTGAAAATATGAAATTGTAATGGTTTGTCTTTATCAATATTGTCATAGTCAGTTGTCTCCCCGTCCGCGAGAAATTCACAAAAATCATAAACCATATTATKTAATATCAATGATTTATTTTAGAATATTTATAAAAAATTAAAATAAAACCTAACTTTGGTAATTCATCAAAAACATTACTTTATAAGTATACAACATAAAATATATTTAACATTAATTGTGCTATAAATGTGTTTAAAACTTTACCTGGTATAAGCATCATCGAGTTCTGGTAATGTAGCTGCAGATATTATATCTTTTTCAATTAATGAATATTGTTCTTTAATGTCATCTGCCAATAGTTTACTTCTATGTTTCAAAATTAAAGCTTTAATTGCTTCAGTTAATGCGTATAAATAAAGCCTCCGGAAGTTTTGCCAATGTAATAAAACACCAGTTGCCCTAAATAATAAATGAACATTATACAATGTTATGTATATTATATTATGTTATCCAAATTTAACACACAGTTTGAGTCATATAACAGGTAGAATTTTTAATGGTCTACAAAGTTCACGGGTTCAGCTAGCATAAAATAAAATAAAATATCACTGAAAGTGGGGGTTCCAATCATATTATTCAGAAATTTGAATTCTCCTTAATTATGCGATGGGACTAGGCTCCATGTCACCTCTCTTACATAAAATGTAATTGAAGCTGACATTTCGACCAGGCGTGCTAAGGAGGAAAAAATATTTTTGCCAAATATATCATTATAACCCAATGATTTTCCAGTTAAGTTTAGAAGAGTTAAGTCTATTTTGGAATGACAAAATAATTGTTTCTCACATGGACAATTGTACGTCACATTCTCTAGAGTTGGAAGACCAGACCATTTATATGTTAATGCACCACAAAATAAAACTTTGAATGTAGTATACCAAGAGGTTTTGACTTAAGCARTATTAGAATTGAGCTAGATTTGAATCATTTGTAAATATTATTAGGTATTATTATTATTTTGTTTATTTATAATTCAGCTACTACTACTATTTAGCACTTGATAGCATTAAATAAAATATATTTTTTTTTTTTTTAAACACAGCAATATGTGTTGATTTAAAAATTTCATTTTGAGAAAACAAAAACTTCACATGGGCAAAGCCGGGTAATTCAGCTAGTAATAAATATAAATATATTTTTTGTTTATAATAGGGTTACTATTGGTTATACAATTTAGTATGCATGAATAAAAAWTTAGCAATTTGTCATTAGGTACTAATTTYAAAAATTGTTTCACCTTTATAAACTAAAAATGTGAGAAAATACTATGAGTAAATATAATTTTATTCCTGTATTTTATATGACTGWGTTAAAAATCTTTAATTGAGATTAAGATAGGGTAAATCCAAGGGAATTTGAAACAGAAAGTTTAGTACATGACTAGCCAAGTATTAAAAGATAAATTTTTAATCATATAAAGTCAGTATCTTTAACGGGAAACAAGGTGCACTATAATCAGCTAGTAAGTTATAATAATATAATATGAWAAATTTTTCTCACTTCAACGCATCATATGGTTGACATATGGATACTCCAGCAATAACACTACTTGGTCTGTTATGGCGAGATTCTCCAAGGTATTTAGTAACCAAGTTACCACCCATACTATATCCAATAATTATAATTTTAGTATTTGGATAATGTTCTGATAAATTGCAAAGCATTACATGTAGATCATCGGTGTGACCTATATATTAACATTAAAAATTATATACATAATAAATTAGGCAGTTGCATTGGAATTGTATTAAATACAACAGTTTTAGACTTATCATATTATGGTTATTGATAAATATATGTGATATTCTTTACCTATGTATAAATTATATAAATAAAATATTTATTCAAATACAATGTTATTATTAACATATTATTTTAATATAAGAGAGTATAATTATAATTGTATTAATTATTATTATTTGA